TTTTTTTTTTTTAATGATCAAAATTGCTTTAACAGTATTACTGAGCTGTGTACCACTATTTTTTATTTTTTTTTTATCATAAAATTTTTTTACCAGTGTTACTGACTATGACTGTGTACTATTTCTTTTAATGATAAAAAAATTTTTAACAGTGCTCCTGAGCTACACAATTTTTTTTCGTCCAAAATTTTTTTTTTAATGTTATTAGGCTTTGTGCCACATTTTTTTTTAATAACAATGTTATTTAAAAATTTAATTTGATGTCTTGGGATGTGATTCTCTCTTATTAATAACAATTGTTGACCCCAAAAGCTTGCTTCTATATGCTGATGTTCTCTACATTTACAGTCGCAATATTTTTTTTATTTTTTTGCTATACTCTATTACAGTTCATAGAAAGGGATTTACTGTGGGTGATTTTGTAAATATTGTATATAAATTTGTATAAAGTAGTTTTCTTGTATGTAGTATTATTAGTCATAGTCGTTTTTTCCAAGTAGATTTGTGTAGTTTTTTTGTATTTCGTGGATTTTGCTATTTCTTAGATTTTATTATTAGTCATAGTCGTTTTTTCCAAGTAGATTTGTGTAGTTTTTTCGTATTTCGTGGATTTTGCTATTTCTTAGATTTTCTTATATGCATGCACTTCGTATTTGTAGATAGTATGGGTGAAAATAGGCCTCCTGGGGAACCGAACACCCAAAAAAAAAAAATCGGTAACGCGCCTTTATTGCAACCTCAGTGGTGGTGTGGAAAAGCAATAAGTTAAAAAAAAATAAAGAATATCCATTTGAAATAAAAAATCCTTTTAAAGTATAAACCTTTATTTTATTAATAATCAATTATGGCAAGCGTTTCTAAGACATCATCATAACCATTCTACAAAACGGGATATTCAATAAATCTATGTATAAAGATATTAAACTATAATAATAATAATAATATATTAATCAATTTACTATTCTTTTGATATATATTAACAGTTGGAAATCATTTATCGTGGTTTACGAAAATTCAGTTTTCTTACAACTACAAAATTTGAGGACTTTTCCACTGCTTACATATAGATGATTTCAAAAGTTGCGAAATTTGCATAAAAATGTTAAACGAATTCAATGGTATTTTAATTAAAAGAAAGGTAATCGATTTATCTTTCTTTTGATATATATTAACAATTGGAAATCATTTATAGTGGTTCAAGAAAATGCAGTTTTCTTACAACTTTGCTAAATTTTAGAACCTTTCCACTGCTTACATATAGATGATTTCAAAAGTTGCGAAATTTGCATAAAAATGTCCAGCGATTTAAATGGTTTTATAATCAAAGGAAAGGTAATCCTTTTAGCTTTCTTTTGATATATATTAACAATTGGAAATCAGTTATAGTGGTGCAAGAAAATGCAGTTTTCTTAAAACTTTGCAAAATTTTAGGAATTTTACAATTCCTACATATGTATATGTTTTTTGCCTCGTTGTAATTCGCCATAAATCTGTGGTATACATTGTTACTAGCCGCTGATGGTGTTGATGGCATTGAATTTGGTGATGGCGTTGATGATGCTGGTGGTGAATGTCAAATATGTAAACAAACAAAAATAGCAATTAAAATTTATAAACATGAAAAATATCAATGTATACCTTTAGAATATGACTATGTCGGTGATGTTTCAAAGAATAAACTATTAACATGCTTTCATCATGAGCGAGAGTCTCATTTTTGCTGAGGGAGATATTTTAATTTGCCTCCAGTAGCGCTTCATTTATTTCACCGAGCCTTAAACATAGTATAATATTAATTTGGAAAGGGGAATGCTATAAAACAGGAATGCATAAACAGGTTATTATTGTCGTTGTTGTTGATGGAAAACCGACTGAGGCCGGGCTTCGTAATGCGGCTACTACTACAACAACCACAACTATTCACTGATAAAGGGCCTGCTCGAGGCACGCAATAAAAGCACAAAAACTGCAGCGCTGATGAAAATTTGCAAGACGGTTCCAACATCCTAATTGGTAAAACGTTGCTACAAATTCACAGCGAACGTGATGCTTTATTCACGCAACACTACAGTTGTAATTGCAACTCGAACAAGCCCAAACACTTCCAAAGCTCAGGAAACTGCTCCACCAATACAACTTATTGTCCAAAGAAGATTGGCTGGAGTTGACTATACAGAATGATAAGAGCACTTTACCAATGCACTAATATGTCGCTCTGGAAAGAAATATACATTAATTTATATGTTTTCTTAAAAATAAATGCAAATTTACCTAATTTTTCCACCGGCAGGCACGAATATGATATTCAAAACAGAAGCAATGACAACGAATTTTACACACATTGTTGTATTTTAGCGCAAAACGATAAGTTTCACAAATATTTTAAATTATTGCCTGGAACATACACATTTATCGTTATTATTGGAAATGGAAGACTTGGCACGCATTTTTAATTTCTTTTTTATTGAATTCAAATGAATAAAAATACATTTTTCTAAAATATTTCTCAGTTTACATTTTAAAGTTTTTTCTGAAACTTGAATGTAACTCTGTGCGGAGAATGAGAGAATTGAAAATCAGGTGATCTCAGCTGTTTTCAAATGTAAACAAACAAAATGGCGCTTTCCATACTTGTAAGCCTATACAATGCTATTGCTTAATGAAACAAACCTATTGTCAGCTGTTTTTCTAATTGCGATGTGCATAACATGCCACTGGAAATGATATTTTAATTTATTTTACAATCAAATGTGCTGTACAGTATCGATACGTTGCTTGAATCCAATGTCATTTACTAAATTTGCTATAACTTTTCTATTTTCAAATCGATTTGCAAAAAATTTGGATCTATATACTTTGAAATTAAATAAGCTTTAACATAGCATAAAAATAAGAACAAAAAGTTTGCAGCTTTTAGGTGTAATTCACAGTAGAATAACGATGCGACTTAAAATTGTGTCCGATTTCACTAATAAATTGGCAGATAACTCTTAAACTGATAATTTGATTGCAAAACATTGTATAGCAGGTTCGTAGGGATTTCAAAGACCTTTAATCTGGTGGAGATCTTTTTGTGGTGTGGTAATCACAACCGGATATTTTTGAAAAAAATTGAAAATGCTGTTTTCTCAATTGGAAAAAAACGATAAATTCTTAAAACCTATTCTACTTTTTTAATTTCTGACCTCATATTCAGATTGTGTGAGTTATTTTATATAGCAAATGACTATAAAATTCACGACTTTCAACTATTTTGTTAAAAAATTTTTTTCCCAGAATGCATATGGTTTTCTAAATTTTCAAATGCAACGCGCAACTACTTAGTGTTATTATATTCGAATAAAATTTTGCACAGCTTATTTTTAGACCAAAAGACATCTTTTTGAGCCCGGCAAACCAAATTTTATTTTTAACGAACGGTCTAATGTACATACATACACATTGATCACTTTGCCGCCATCCGTTGGGATTTACAACTTAATTATTCAATGGCCAAACAAAGTGGAGCGTTTTAATGATGTTTCTGCTTTTATATAGTTTTTTCGCTTAAATTTAATGCACTTTTGTTTTGCCCAGCCTATTCCAGACCAGCTTACAGTCCGCTTGTTCACCGCGAATCAGGTGAAATGATGCAATGTTGGTAAACAACATTAATCGCGTAACTCCTTGTTGCCCCTTTCTTGGGAGCGTTGTACTTTGCACAATTCGCTACAGGAACTAGGCAACATTAACCGCTGAATAAAAACGTATCAGGTTGCTGCCAGTAAATAGGTGCAATTGATATGTAGGAAGCAGAATGACAGAATTGCTTTAAAATTTTAGTTAAATGCAATAAGTGGTAATTATTTAAAAAATAACGATTTATTTTGAAGAAAGAAACGGGTGGGTTAGTATTTAGGAATTCTAGGATTTGAAAACTATAATATCGCTACCTAAAGGTGAAAAGGTGCCAAGTCCACTTTTTTTCAAAATTTAAATTTAGATTCAGAATGCCAGATAATGCGAAACTGCATTGAGTTTTCGTGTCGCCTGAACAATTTCAAAAAAATGGACTTGGCACCTTTTCACCTTTAGGTAACGATATGTTGTATGTACCTTCACCAAAAAAAGTTGCGGTTTTTCTGCCGGGATTACAAAATTTATTATATTTTAAGACTTTCACCAAAATATTTCGGAAAAATATTAACATTTAGTTTCTTAAAAGATTTTTTGGAAAAAATCTCCTCAGATGACAAAACGGTTTAAGCTTTAAAAATCTGCATAAAAATATTCAAACATTTTTTTAACGGAATCATAAAATAAGATTTTTGATGCTGTTTTTTTTAACTTTTTTCTAAGATTTGTTTAAGAAAAACTTGAAAACCTGGGCCAAAACTATACCGATATAGACTTGTGAGGTATCAGTGGAAAGGTATTTTCTCACCCTGTATATTTCTTTGCAAAAAAACGCATTCACGTCCTAATTTTTTCTTTATCAAATACCAACACACATGGAATGGGGCTCGTTTGTCTTACCTTTCTATTTCATTCATTAATTGAGCCTATTTGCAAAGAAATAAAAGGGGTGGGAAAATTCCTTCCCAATGATACCTCACAAGTCTAAATCGATGCAGTTTAGGCTGAGTTATTCAAGTTTTTTTTAACCAGTCTTTGAAAAAAGTTGAAAAGCCGATGGTGAGCCGATGAGAGGCTCAGCCTAAACTAAAAACTATTCTTGTTCCATTCGCAAGAAAATATAAGGAAAGCCTTGATTTGTTTTCCCCTGAAGGACAGTGCTTGAAAACGCTGACAAAGTGAAATGTCTTGGAAATACCCTTGATAAGTAAACTGCGGATTTTTATGAAAAATACGGAGCCTAGAAATATGTACCACATAACTATAAACAAATTGTATAAATTTCTATACATTTTGTTTATATTTAAGTGGTATATATTTTTACGCTCCGTTTTCTGCATAGAAATCAGCAGTCTATTGATAAGAGACTAAGTAGGAATTTCCTTCAAGACAAATCTCTTACCAAGGCACCAATGCAATTTGGGACTAAAGGACCCTCTATACCGTACAATTGTCCGCCTGAATGTCGCTTATGCCTGCGTTGTCTGTTGGCCAAAGCGCTGCTTAACCGCAGATTCAAAAGCACCAACAGAAAAATACTTTAGGTTAAATTCTAGGGTTGGAAAGATATTGGTTCCGATGTCATTGGGGTGGGCAAATGGATAGTTTCGCTTCGTTAGCAGATACATACATATGTATATGGGCTGAAAAGGGGCGAGAATCTATGAACCCGGTACTTGACTTTTCATTGCAATGGGGAGATGACCCAGTCTTTCAGGTGCAATTGCTAGCCTTCTCGACCTGTGCCAGATTATACATTGAAAAGGATTTGAAAGATGTGTAATGGAAGGGACCCCTACAGATCCCAAAAAGTCCTGCACTCATAAGAATGTATTTAGTAGGGCAATTCATCAAAACGCGTAAATGCCTCGTAACCATGTAAACCTCGTAAACTTACTAAATTTGGTATGGAATATCGAATTATTTACGAGGTTTACGCGGCTACGAGGCAAATGAATACCCATAGTGTGCATTTTTGCGGTTCTTTATTTACGTTTTCATAATTTTAACTTACAATTTTAAGAAACACATTTAAAAATAAAAATACCAAAAATTCTGTAAATAATATTTCCCTTTTTTGGGAAAAAAATTTAGGGAATTTTAGGAAACAAAATTTAAAAAAAAAAAACTGAATTGTTCTCAAAAGTCTTAGAAGCTTACAATTTTTTAGAAAAACGATTTCCTTAAAAAATATTTCGCGAAAATTAGAAAAAATTATCAGATTAAAAAAGTAAAACTTTTTTTGGGCAACAAAATTTTTCGTTCTTTTTTAAAGAAATAAAATCTATCTTGGAAAAGGTAAATTTGTATTGAGAAAAACTAGGAATTTCAAGTTTTCTTCGATTTAATGTGTATGTATGTACACAAAACATTTTTAATTTTTTCCTTTTTAAAGAAATAAGGATTTTAAGGATTTGAGAAAAAAATTAAGAATAAAATATAATAAACAATTTTATTAAGCTTCAGTTTACCATTTGTTAACTATTGTTGTTTTTATTAGGCCAATAAATAGCAAAAAACTAATAAAATGTACATGTATAAAAAAATTATGTATTTAACCCAAATGATACATGAAAAAAAAATTGTTGTTTAATGAATATTTTTTATGAGGAATAATTTTTGAGAATTATTTTCGTCCCTAAAATAGAAATTAACATTTCCATTTACTTAAGTCGAATCGGCTAACACTAGTGTTCCAGGATTAAAAAACTAAGGAATTTTTGGAAAAATAACAATTTATTCATTGTTTTTCCGGGATGCAACTGACCCGTTTTTTTCTCTAAAGACTGCAACTCCATCGCACTTTTTTTGCCTCAAAAATTTACTTCTCAACAAAACAAAAGATATATTTTAATTTATTTGCACAAATCTGAAAATAAAAAAAAAACTGTAGTTTGTACTAGGAGCAATTTAGAAAACTAAAATACTGTCTAAAAAAGTGTAATTTACAGGTAAAACTGTGAATACATTAACCATCTCAGCACTTCTTTGTTAATTGTTTGCTTTTGCTTCAAAATTTTCATTTAACGCTAGTCTGTGTATTCTTATATGTACATTAGGGCGGGTCGAAAATCTAATTTTTCTTAAATCCCTTGGTAATAGTGAAAATATATTGTATCATGAAGTCAACAACAAGCCTGCGAAATATTAGTCTTTCATTTTAATTGTAAGAGCCCGCGCATCGACCGCCAAGTGACCCACAGCACACTAATCGAATAAGACCAATTCTTGTTAAAAATGCTGGGTTTAGCCAAAAATTTTGATGCATATTATTAGATAATGAATCCTTTAACGCAAAAGATAAAGTCAAGTATCATTTCGCGCAGCCCTTTATCTTATCGTTAATCTCAAACTCATCTATTTTCAAGAAAATTTTAATTGTTCTTTTGATAATTGCACTGGCCTATAGTCAAAAGATGTAAAGAACAATATTAATATTGCTGGCGTGCATTTAGATCGCTAGTTCCAAATATTCTAATCCTTTTTTAATATTAGCTATAGTTTGCGATTTTTTGCAAATTTAGGAACAATTTCGGTAGCTCTAATAGAATAGCCATTATTTTCCATCATCGCGGAAAAATTTTGTTTATGCAAATAGTATGGAAACACTGAACAGGCACAACTTCTAGACACACTAATTGGTTTACTTATGTTTATGCATACAATATAAAAATTGCAAATAT